ATTCCAAAGGTTTATTAAACCTTGGCAAATTTCCCATATGGCAGCCATAGTGATCTTCATAAATTGTAGAGAAGATCACGTCACTGGTCTTTCTCTCTCTTAGAAGGAAAACCAGATTTCTTACTTGGCAATATAAGGCCTTCACCCTCTCTAATAAAATCATCCTTCCTGTTTAGTCTCTTCCACATTTCTATCACATAATTTTCTACCATTTTTCACTATCTGAAATTATATCACTAATTTGTTTAACTGGCTCCCCCAACTAGAATAAGAAGCTCCTTGAAGGTAATGGGTGTGACTGTCTCATTGTCACCGGTTCAATATCTAGCAGAGTGCCTGGCTCATAGCAGGCACTCAATAAGTATTGTTTAATGAGTTACTTCATTAATAGAGGAACAGTGTTTGGCTCTCCATATTTTATAAACACTCTTGGGGAGGGGACAGCACCTTTTATTTCAGGAATTTCTGTTCTTTCCTTTGGGGAGCCCTAACAACTACTTTTTCAGTCACCCTCCTGGGACTAGTATTTATAATAATCTCCTTTTGTACTTTTACAAACCAATGAGCTCATTGAGCTTGTGGGCATCAGAAAGCCTTGTGAACCACCACAGAATTGTGGTTAGGTTTGACACAACCTATGGTTGCTACAATATTTTTGTTTTACAGAGTGATTTTTTTTCCTTCAGAGATGCAAGATCCTCTACACACAAACCAAGAATCTACACACAAACCAAGAATTTACCTTTCTTTCCTTCAATAACCACAAAATATGGTGCTGAACTTTTGTGGATTTTCTAATGTTACCAGGTCTGAGGTTTTTTTCCCAGTTGTTACATGATACCTTAACGTGTCACCAATAACTCTAAATTCTTTAAAATGTTCTATAAAATCTATGGATTTATTAAGCACTAAGTTGTAACTATAGTTTAATTAACTTTGAAGTCCAAAGAACTCATTTTCTGGGAAAAGAGTAGAATTACAGCACCCAGGCAGGCTTATATCAAAGATGTAATTAAAAAGGTGGCATGAAGAATGAACTAGAGTGTGGGGTATAGCAGCTATCAGTATAGTCCTCAAGGTAGTTCCTCCAACTGTGGGGGTATTTTAGTATCCTGTTCTTTCCCAGGGACATGAATGACTCAGAACCAGCAAATGGACAAGCTGGACAAGCCCTAAATATCAGCTCGTCCATACTTCTACTATAAACTGACCTAGAAATTTTGGGCCAGGAAAGAAAAACCCATTGGGCATGGAGGAATGGCCACAAAAAGAATTTCTCTTGCCATTGGCCCTGTCATGCCCAGACCTGCCAGTCTGCTCCAATGGATGGAACTTGCAGGAGACTGATAGACTCCCAAAGATGCGTTTGCTCTTGTTCCTTTCACTAAAAGCCATGTTGAGGTCTCAGTGCAGTGAATAAATAGAAGTACAAGTCCAGATTATCACTGGGAATGAGAGTGAAATAAAACCCCTGGAATTTGTCATCAAGAAGGGGAAAAACACAACAGCTGGGAAACACACGTGCCGATCCACATCGGTGTGTTCTAACTGATAGCCCAGGATGTTTGATTCGTCACCCCTGTGAGCTAAAAGCAGGGAGAGCTGACTCGAAGGCCAGCACACCTCATGTTCTGGAGGAGGAACAGGCAGCAAGGGATCAGCAACTTTTCATAGCTGTGGATGGAATATTTCCAGAAAGCTACACTGCCTTTGTTACTAAGAAGCTGTACATCATCAAAGGAGGCAGGGAAAGGCCATATTCCCAAGGGAGTTCACCCTGCTTTCAATGCAATGCCTAAGCAGGACCATTTATTCCCTTATTATTCATTTCCCTCCAGCTGTTACCAAGAACCCCCAAAATGTTCAGCTCCAAAGTTAATGCACATTTACAGCCTGGGAGTATTTTCCTTTTGCCAAATTGGGAAAGAGCGGGGAGGGAGAAGGGAGGTAATTCAAGTTGTTGGGAGTGAGGGGAGTAATTCTTGCTTATATCAGCAGCTTGCCCGAGTTCTGCCATCATTCCTACCCCCTTTATTTTATTTATCTCTTTACGGCCTATCTGATAATGCTATAACCATTTCCTGTTGTATACTGGCTGAGGAAGCTTTCTCCAGGCCCAAGAGCAAATCAATAAAAGTAAGCCATAGCGATTCATAAAAATAAAATTGTCATCATTATTGTTCAATTATTGCTGTGTCTGTGGAAAGAATCTCAAGAACTGAAGGTTTCTTGGCTAATATTTATAATCTGCGTTGAACGGTGTTAATGAATGAGTGGGTGTGCATTAGACTGAAATGCAATGGTGTTTGATTTATACCAAGTCCAGGTCTGATTGCTAATGTTAAATCCATTAAAGTGTCTCTTAGATCTGCCTTAATGTACTCCCCTGCATATAATAGAGCTTAAACATACCCGTTTACTTAGCTTTTCATTATTGGTTGAATATTTGTCTTTATTACATTATCCCCATGATAAATTTGACTTACGATAGTTTAAAAAACAGTACTTCGGGAAAGCTAAGCTTTTAAAAGGGCTACAGAAGTAACTCCAGATTCCCCAGTCTTCCCACAGATAAAAAGAGCAGAATATCCTCAAATAATTACTATTTTTAAAAGTTCAAACTGTTAAATCTGAGCATGTCCCAGATCACAAAATCGAGATGCTCAGGGGAAGAAGAAATATTTCATCCTGGAAGGAAAATAACAAACAGAGAAATGAAAGCTATCTGCCTAAGCTGCCACCTTTGGGGTGTCTCTGGGGTGGAAAGCCTTCTGTATTCCTTTAAAACGCCTCTCCCGGAAGGAATCCACAAAGCACAAGTGTAAATAGGAACAACAGGTTGAAAAGACTTAGGCGTAATCATCAAGAGTCTCTTCTAAGGTCAACCATGTCGCAGGGATTCTGTAAAGGACAGTGAGTATAAAACACACCCGCCGGCCTGTGCTCCCCTCCTTCAATCTACAAGAGTTCTCCATTCACAGCCTGGGCAGTCCCAGGCGACAGACGCCAAGTCAATTTGGGGTGTATTTCTGATGCTTCTCCCTCCGCGCTTCGCTGGCTTTACTTGAAAGCTTGGCTCCTGCTAAGTCCGTGTTTGCTGATGTGTGTCTGGATTAGGGCGAGGAACAGGCTTCCTGTTCGTTTCTGACAACACTGCAGCTACCACCTCTGGCTTCAGGGGTCCAACCCATCCTCACACAGGAGACCCAAGATGGAGATGGGAGACATGGCACAGAAAAGGAAATCTGAGGATCTGGATTTGATGAAGCAAGAGAAACAGATAGGTAAAATGAATAAGTCACTCCAATAAAGCAGCTAGACATGAATCTTAAAGTAATAGGGAGATGATTCTCTAAATACCTTCCTGGTCATTTATTTTGTTCTTACCTGGAGTGTGGGCAAAATTGTTCCAGTCAACAGGTATTGGGTATGCCCACGATGGGTGGTGTGGGAGCTATAAGGAATAGACCATCTAGCTTCTTCTCTCCATAGTTTTATTTTATTGAGAGAAATAAGAAAAATATTTACTAAATGGAATAACCAGAGATAAATAAACAATAATCTCAACTATCGAAATTTGTCAAGAGTAGCTCAGACAGTAAGCGTCGTGTGCACAAAGGTGGGGAAGCGATAGGCGGGTTTGCGGGGGATTTTAGGGAGCAAGATGGTCTCAAGAGGGATGTGAGGAGTGGCTTTATGGGACAGGGACATGTGCACAGAAATAGCAAAGAATCACATGCATTTTGATGTAAATTAGGCGGAGGCATATTTTAACACTGAACCACGTATACACATACACACAAATGAAATTACCAAAATCCAAGTATCTGTCACATATTTTTCATTAAACCTGTACATCTCATTGAACCTGTACATTTAGTACCACCTGGTAGTAAACACTGGTATATCTTTGGATTTGCATAAATAAATCTAATCCTGGCTTGAATTGGCAGTCAACTCTATTTTTGATGGCTTCAGATTTCATGATGAAATTTTGACACAGCTTACTAAAAGAGACACACTAAAATTAGGCTTTATCAAACTACAAGGTTTTCTTTAAAATATATAGATAGATTTAAGGTCAGTAGATTTATGTATTTAGCTTTGTTCCATGAGGTACTAAGTAAGAATAAAAAAAGAGTAATTCAAGTCTTGTAATATGTGTTGCTAAGGAGTCGTCACGTTATCTGGCTGTTGAAATTCAGACAAGAAACACTTTCTCCATCATAAATATTAGTTATAGACAAAAAGGTCCTTCTTAGAATGATGTATAGACAAAGAATTAAAAAAAAAAAAAAAAAAAACCATGTACTGTAATTTGAAATAATGCTACTGATCCTTTTTCCTTAGGGGATAATGGTGACAGTTCTCCCCATAACAGGGATGAATTTACTGTTGTGATCCTTCCACCATCTCTCATTCCATTTTTCTTTGACTAATGGAGGCACAAATTTGGGAGTTGACTAACCAGGTTAATGATGCAATGAGTGCCCAAGCAAATACAATACAAAGTATAAACAAAACAGGTATGTACCTTGAATTAGAAATGCATACAGGCAGAAAAGGCAGCCCAGATAGTGGTCTGGATTATAAGTCAAAATGTTTACCAACATGATAGATCCCTGAGCCGGAGGGTACTGTTGGACATGATGGCATTCCCTTCAATCTCTGAGGTCCTATGATTCTGTGATTCCCGGGACAAGAAAGGACAGGGATCCCTGACAAGGTCAGGAGAACAGAGGGAAAAGAAGATGAGAAGTAACATTTATTAAGCACCTACTATTTGCCAGAGAAAATGATAAACATTCTACACACAACATCCAATTCAATCTTAAGCGGACTATTATATTATCCTCATTTACCAATGAGTAAACTAAAGCCCCAAGAGGTTACTTAATAATAACACATAGTTACACAGCTACTAGGTAGCTAGGCAAGGATTTTAGCCTTAGTAAATGTAACCAGGGTTAATACTCACAATATTTATCAGCCAGTATGGTGTGAATACTGGTGAATCGGCAACAACCAGTTGGAAGGGACACAAGGTGTGAACAACCTGCACAGTCACACCTGCAGGAATCAGCCGAGGTTTAACTCAGTGCCCAAGTTCTTTTTATTAAACATCAAAGACAAACTTGAATTCAGTCTTCAAATCCTAGCCTGTCTCTAAATTAACGTTCTCATTTACTTAAATAGTCGTGTATGCTTTTGATAATTAAAACATTTTAAGTAAACATCCAGCAATCCACTTAAGTACCTCTTATTTGGGGAAGAGGTAGTTGTTCTCTGAATAAAGTAAAGCAAAAACAAGAAAAAAAAATTACTATAACATTTTATCTGCACTGTAGTACACAGGATATGCTTCAGTTATCACTGACAAATAGTCAAATCATCATTCACTTTCCTCAGTGCTAATGCAAAGTTAATCTGGAAAACACCAAAACAAATGAATTGTTTTGAAATACAGGGACTATGCCTTGCAAAAGTGAAATATACATTTATCTCTAAATTGTAAGGCAATATCAAATCAAGACAAATCTAAGTTACTTTAAACTTACCCCAATGGAATATGATTCCACAATTATTATTTATAACCTGAAAATAAATCAATATGGAAAGAACCTATTGTAAATGGCTTTTCAGAGTCACCATTCACACATAACATCAAAGATATTGACATTTAGATGATAGGTTACATAGATTAGATAAATAATTGATAGATGTATAATTTCATTCATCATGTAAAGATATTATTGCTATTATCTGACCTTTCCAAAAATTATACAGTGACCTTGTATTCACCATGTAACTCAAGTTTAATCCTTGACATTGAAATATAGTACCTCAGAAGGCATATTAGCATGGAATGTAGCCATGGGGGGGAAAATAAAAGTTTTCATTTAGGAGAAGCATGCTTTAGAACATAAATGCTTTATAGAGAGGAAATGAGAATCTGGTAGAGACAGCTAAAACCTTTTTTAAAAAATTACATAGCAATTACACTAACCCCTGTGTTCTCCAGCAAAATCTGGAAAAGAGATGTTCTTTTCAATCAAAAGTTGTGGATTTCCTATGTAATCAACTACATTCTCTGAAGATAAGTGGATTCTTGACTGGATAGGCTACAAACAAATTCTCTAGAGAAGTGCTAAATATTCTAGAAATTTCTTCAGGAGGAATTATAATAAATGTCCTGTCCTTCAGAGGCAAGTTGGCTTCAGTGGTGAGAGTAGAGACGGAAATGAGGGGCTTCAGCTTGAGTCCCAGCAGCGCCATAGCTCTGTGACCTTGGTCAAGCTACTTTCTCTGTGTCTCAGTTTTTCATCTGTAAAATGGGATGATTACCTCCTCCTGTCGTGTCTAGTGATCATGTGAGTGAGAGCTGATACTCCAAATACGTAACATCTAATGCAATGTGGTCATTGAATATCAACCCTATTTATCTCTCATGTCATTCCACGAAGGACTCAAGGAAACTGACAAAGAAAGCACAGTACCAAAAGAAAAATTGCTTTTTTTTTTTAAGTCAAAGAATTAAAGGCAAGTAGAACATAAAGTCCAACCATAAGATAAAGCAGAGAATTAATATACATAAGAGTACCAAATTTTGAAACACATTTCTTGCAAGGGCTAAATTGACCCTGCATCCAATAAAGAGATTCTTGATTTCTCAGTTACACGATCTGTCAGCCTCTACTACTGAGATCTTTGGGGTTTTTCCAGGTGTTCTTTGAGCCTCTGCGAGAAGGAAGAAAAATAAAGAAACATTTATTCTGTGTCCACGATTCCCGGTGCAATGTTAATGTCAGCCCTTTACAAATGTTATCTCATATAATCCTCACACCAGCACTAATGTAAAGGACTTATTACCCTCATTTTACAGATTACAAGAAACAGAGGTCTTGAGAGGATGAAACAGCAATCTGAGTCTGAACCCTCAAACGTCTATTCACCTCATTGCTGTAGCCATAATTTCAGATGAATAAAATAGAAACAAATATTCTTAAACAAATAATGGGTTACCAGACAACCCTGAATGCTATTATGAAAATGTTGGTGGCCCCAGGAGACACAGATGTGGGGCACCATCCTTAAGATAATAATACAGTAAGCCATCAAATAGGGTTAGATATGGACACGAAGAATTTACTTCTACCATAGAAACTACACTATTGACCCTAAAGAAATATTTTCAGTCAAAAAATCATCAGATATTTAAATTCACTTAAAATTCAAATTATAACTTGTACCATACAATAAATAGTCCATTCACCAATAATATATATTCGGCATCACACAAGATACTGAGACTATAAAGGTGAATAAAATGTCGTCTCCACCCTGAAGAAACCTGTATCATTTTAATAATCATATGTTTAGTTATAACAGATAATATGTGTTAAGAATTATATCTTTAAGTTGTGTTAGGGGCATGATTTGTAGTTAAAAATAGGTTTTTGATTGGTCTATAAAACTGAAGAATCTGGTATCTTAAAACATGAATAATAGATAGTTGCTGAAAATCCATTATGTTCCTAGCACTGGGTCAGGAATTACCATTAAACAAGTGCAAAGTATGAGCTTCCCAACGTCTCCCCTCAGATGTGGGTAAGTCAGCTACTAGGGTAGGTAGGTTAGCAAGACTAAACACCTCCGCACCAACACTCAAATTGAACAGCATGATTGGTTATTTTTTGGCATCACAGCTAACTCTAACCAACACAGCCAGCCGCCTGCTGTGAACAAAGACCCTCGATCTAATACTCAAATAGCTTCTTTCTTCAATTCCCTTCTGTCCATTCTTAAGCCTCAGCATCCTCCTGACTGTCCCCTGGCACCCCTGACTTGACCCAACAGCCTTTCCTTTCTGAAAGGTCAGGGCATCCGCCCACTCCGCCACCCCCACTTCCCTTTCACAGTCGCTCGCTCCTGCTTTCTAGCTACCTTCCTTGCTCCTTCAGACCTTGGCATCGGCATCAGAGTCCTTGTCTGAGCCTGTCTCCTGGCATCCTCCTGGTCAAACTCAACATCCAGGTCCAAGATACTCCCACACTCCGTAGTAGCCACACCCAGCCTGGATCTGCCTGTCTTCTTTCTTCTTCTTTCTGCAGTCCCTTCCTGTAGCTTATCCATTGCCATGGCCTCGATTCTTATCCCTAATCATGCCCAAATTTCTATCTTCCCCTACCCCAAATAGTCCCCAGAACCCTCATCTGCTTAGTGGGTATGTGGGTAGATAATCTAGCATGTCCTAATTAAATTCTTTATCTTTCCTCAACAAACTCTCCACCCCACAGTTCCCTCCTCCTGTGTTCCTATGGCTCATGGCTCCAGCATCCTGTTCTGCTCAGGGTTCATATCACTACTGGCCTCCCTCGAGCTCCTTGTGCCCTGTCACATCTATTATGTTTCCAAGTCCTGTAGATTTCCTCCAAGCAACATCTTTCTTTACTTTCCTGCTGCTGTCACTGGTGTCTCCAATGTATCGTCAGATCCTTAACAGCAAGGACTATATTGTGTCATTCTGTGTTTGCCACAATACCTACAACACTGTGGATGGTTAAAAAGCATTTGTTAAATTTGATTCTATAATAAAATGCTTTCTCACTTATTGCCAGAAATAGACCCAAGTTTTGGGTCCTGGTTTTCTCTACAACTTAGGGAAAGTCCTTTTCCAGTATACAATATTATGGATACAAAATTAGATACGGGGCCTTTCAAGGAGCCCATGCAAGTGAAGTGTCCTGAAGTTGAAGATTCATTGGTTTCACAGTAATGCATACTTTACTTCAGAAATACAAATGCACCTTCTCATGGAGGTATATGTTCAGCGCAATTTTTAACCCTAACCTCTTCTATTAAAGTAATGCATTATGCAATCAATGGCATTTTAGAGTCAAAACTTCCATTATCTCTTATAATAAGCTTCTCCAGCTTCAATCTCATATTGCTCTAAATACACCTCCATACAACTTGCAGAATAATCTTTCTAATTCATAGGTACCATCATGTCATGCTCCATTAAAAAACTTTCTATGCCACCCTACTATCTATGGACCTGAGTACAAATCCCACAATCTGGCATTCAAAGCCTAGTATTAAAAACTGGAAGGATGATAGTTTTGAGATTTTAACTTTTTTCCCCTCCCTCTAATATCAGTCTTCCCATTCTCCTCCCTCCACCCACAATAAGTCCAATCAATGTTTACTGCTTTGAAAAAAAAGATGTGACAGACGCAAAGCAGACAGAGCCTACCTGTCTGCTTATATCTCTAATATCTTCCTGGCCCTACCTACCAAAAATGTGAGCTCTCAAGGAAATGGAGAGGATTCAGGGTGGAGTCAAAATAGTAGAAAGAAATTAAATTTGAAAAGAGAAAATCCTTTCCCCAGCTTTGAGGAGAGGAGAGACAAGAGAGAAGATCTGAGTCCCATGAAGAAGTGTTCTGATTCCTGTTTTCCATATAGAGACCTCAAAGTCTTGGAAAGTTCTGGAGGGCCCAAGAGCAGGGAGGACCTACACCCTACTTCTCAGTTAGAATGCTAAAGAAAGAGGAATACCCCAAAACTGTCCTGGTGGACTGAGCCATGTGCTGGCCTCGCTGAGATTTTGGTGTCTCTGTGAGACAGAGAAGTATCAAATGAATCACGGGCCCTAAAGGGACAGCCTGTGTGGACGTTGAGGGAAAACCCAGATGGGCCCAGCCATAACTTGATCACCACCAACCCCTAGGACTTAGCCACAGTTCTGGGCAAAGAGGAAAGAGGGAAACACATGGAATTGACTGAGACGAGCTTTTGTCGAGCCAGAGTAATATGAGATCTGTCTGGAAACTATCCAGCCATTGTTAATATATTTTTCCTATTGCATGGCTGGATACTTTCTGTACAGACCTCATATGGTCATGCACCACATAACATTTTGCTCAACCATGGAGCACATATACAACCAACATCCCATAAGATTAAAATGGAGCATATATAGAAACCTGACATGCGGCACTTGATATTGGCATTGCAGATCAAGTAAAGGAAATGACTGACATTTAGTAATGATGCTGGAACATTTGATTTTCTATGTGAAAATATATACATAAATATGTATATACACACCATCTATGATTGTATAAGTATACTCTATGATGTTCACGCAAGAATAAAATCATCTAATGACACATTTCTTACAACGTATCCCCATTGTTAAGCAAAGCATGACTGTATAAATTAAGTTGAACTTCAGAAAAATTAAGAAATGTATGTTTCTTGCATACGTGAGAGTGCATTGAGATTCATACCCATGCCAGTGTTTGTGTAACCCTAGGATTACATATTGAATCTATTCCAAATATTAGGCATTAATTCCACAAAAGTCGTTTCAGAACTGGTGAAGAGCATCCTCCCTAGGCCCTTCCATACGTAACCACACAGTTGGTTTCATTTTTAAACATCTATGGCTGAACACATGGTCTAGGGTAACCTCTTTTTCCCCAGGAAGATGGGCATCAGAGCAGGTTAGCACCTTGTCAAGGAGGCTCTTCTTTTCAAAATTCAGAGATTTGTTAGTTTTTTCCCCCTAAACTACAAACCTAAAGACCAGAAAAAATTGATCAGCAAATAATTCTGCTAAGAGAGCAACAGCCTATTCTAGGTCAGATTTCGGTGACAGATATGCTTACTTTGGCTGGATAACCACCAATAAATAATCTTTTTGGTAATGCATGGAAATGATTACCCTGTGTAAATGTCATCCTCCTAGAATTTGTACAGGACAAAAGGGAAGATTCATTAATAAGGGAAAATTAGACATGGAGGACAACCCAATATAGGGAGATAAATGAGATAGGAATTCTGGCCAATCTACTGTGCACAAGTTACAAAGAAGAATGGGCACTTGGTTTTGAAAATATAGTATCTGTACTTATTTTTTTCTATTTTGCAAAATGCACCAAAGCACACTTCAACTCTATTCCCATGACACTAATAGAAGAAAGAAGAGCATAAGAAAGTGATAATAATACAGTCGGACTTTGCTTTTATCTTCACACCTTTCATCCAAGGATCTTTCTGCCCTTAAATAATAATTGATTAAATCTCACAATATTCCTCTGAAGGTATCTTCTGATGGCCCCAGACCTAAGCAGAGAGAAGTGGAATGGATTGGATCACCCAGGTTCAGGCCACAGGGCTCTAATAGAGCCAAAAATAGACTCAAGAGAATCACCACTCATTACCTATCTTTAATCACCTGGAAATATCCTGGCCCCTTGATATAGTTAGCCTGCCGGCTCCCTCCATTTTTGGAATGAGCTATATTTTTCATTTAATTATGTGCAGGACATCCGCCTTTGACAGCTGTTCTTCCAGAAACGTGACTAGAAAGTTGTCAAAGGCCTGCCTATAGCCTCCAAAGAGTGTCACTTCCCTGGACTGCCGCCGAGAGCCTGCAGGTAGCACGTATCAAGTATAGTTCAGTAATTGGGGGGCTGCCTCAGAAGTACTTTCATGCTGACTAATTAATCTCTAGTAATTAGCACTCAGATGTAACAAGTGTAGCATTTAAGGGCCATAGCAAGGGAAATAAAATCTGCTCTTCAGAAATTTTCTCAAGAGTTTGATTGCCTTTTTTTAGATAAATAACGGCACCCATCCACTCAGGCACAGAAACTGGAGTAAGGAATCGACTTCACATGTCCATGCTAAACACTGCTAAAACTCCCTGAAATATTAATAATAATACTTGGTCTAATTCCTTCGCAAATCTTAGCAAAATTCACAGACTCATAAACTATTAGAACTGAGAAGGGCTTCAGAAACCATCTA